TTCCAATTGGAGGCCTATTACGCTCTTAAATGTTGATTATAAAATTCTTTCTAAGGTTTTAGCGCGTCGATGTCGGGGTGTCGTTGCGTCGGTGGTCTCTATGGAGCAATTTTGTGGTGTGCCTGGCCGTGCCCTGATGCATTGCAATGCCTTACTTCGTGACGTGCTTCTCTATGCGTCCGAGTATCGGCTTTCGGCGGCTATGATCAGCTTGGACTGGTCCAAGGCCTTTGATCGGGTGTCTTTAGAGTTTGTTTTTAGTGCTATGGAGAGGCTTGGGTTTCCGGTGGTGTTTGTGGGGTGGATCCGTTTGTTGTATGTCCGGAGTCGCAGTCGCGTTTGTGTGAATGGGTTTTTTAGCTCATTTTTTCCTATTTGCCGTTCCGTTCGTCAGGGGTGTCCCATGTCCATGCTTTTGTATGTGATTTTTCAGGAACCTCTTTTTCGGGCGGTGAAAGCGTGTTCCTTGATCGTGCCTCCTTGTCTGCCGTCCGGTCTCCGGCTACCCGTTTGCGGGTATGCTGACGACACCATTCTATTTGTAGCTTCGGAGGGTTCTGTTGAAGCTGTCCAGGACGTTCTCCTGCGGTTTGAGTCCGCTACGGGGGCCGTTCTTAATCGGGCGAAGTCGGGGTTGATGGGGATCGGTGAGTGGGCCTCCCGCCTGGTGTGGGATAGGTCGTGGTTTCCGGTGGTCTCCTCGATTCGGGTTCTTGGGATTACTTGGTTTGCCTCCTATGACCGCTCCTTGGAGTGGAATTGGGGTGCTGTCTCTCGGTCGGTTGGTGTTGCAGTTGGCCTTTTGTCGCGTCGTCCCTTGACGATTTATCAGAGGGGACTGCTTGTTGCGTGTAAGGTCTTGTCGCGTGTCTGGTTTGTGGCTCGATGTTTCCCGTTGGATCGTCGGAAGGCCTTGAGTTTGGAGAGTGTGGTGTATAGATATGTATGGTGTGGGCGTTATCAACCGGTGCGCCGTTCGACGTTGGTGTTAGGGGTGAGAGAGGGGGGTGTTGGCATTCCTGACGTTTTCACGAAGGCCAAGGCCCTCTTCTGGGTCTCGTTGCGTCGGGGGCTGGCTCTCGGTGGGGGGTTGAATACGCTGGGTGTGTTTTTCTGCTCGCTTCGCTTCAGTTTTTGGTTGATTTGGGGGTTTGTCAGGAGGTGGCCTTGGTTACCCCCCCTGTTTATTCTTGGGCCGTGGGGATTCTTCGGGAGCTCTGCCGCCATCCTGGGTTTCTGTCTTTCTCGTGCAAGGCTGTGTATGGGGTGTTGTTGCCCCGGGTGCGGCCTCGAGTGGAGGGCTTGTTCCCGTGTTGGGATTGGGGTGGTATCTGGTCGTGTTTGGGGGCACGGTTCTTGGCGCCTCAGCAGCGTGAATTGCTGTTTCGGGTTCTGCATTTGTCGCTGGCGACAAATGAGCGGTTGTGTATGCTTGGCTTGCGTGATTCTGGGGCGTGTGTTCACTGTGGTTCATGTGAATCGCAGGTGCATGTATTTTATTTTTGTGTCCGGTTACAGGGGTTGGTGGACTGGTTTCGGGATGTCCTGGAGGTGTTTTGTGGTCCGGGTTGTCGGGGTGATGTTTTGCAGTTTTTGTTTTTGTATTTTCCGGCTTATCCGCTGCGGGTGCGTAATACATTGTGTGTTTTGGTTGCTGATTATGTGTTTTGTGTGTGGGTTGGGAGGCGGGAGGGTTTTGGGATTGCCCGAATTTTAGGATTTTTACGGGGGCGCATGCGGTTTACCTGGTGGTGGTTGCAGCGCGCTTTTCCGGAGGAGTTTGGTCGGTGGTTCACAGATGCCTATGTTCGTGGGGTTGCCTTTGGGTCGGCGGGTGCCTTGGTGGCAAGGTGAGGTTCTCGTCTTGGGTGGGGTTGGGGTGTTGATGGGGGGGGTTTAGAGGGGTTGGGGGGTTTCGGGGTTTGTTTTGCTATGCGCTCCCTTTCCGCTTCTTGGGGTGTCCTTGGCGGGGGTTGCGTGTGTTTGTGTGTCTCCCCCCTTGAGATGCTGCTGCTCCTGTGTGTGTGTGGTGTGTTTTCCGTACCTCCGGGTGCCGGTTGTGTCCGTAATGCGTGTGGGTGTGTGATTTTGAGGGGGGTTTTGGCTCCTGCGTGGGCCTGGGTTTTCTGCTGTACTGTTTTCTACTGTTCCTTTTGTGGCCGTGTTTCGCTTTGGCCTGTAACCCTTTATTTTGCGTGCTTGGGTGCAGTGTGGTGTGACGTGGTGGTGTGGGTGGTATGAGTGTGTTTGTCTTGTTGTTTAGAGTGTGTTAGTGTGCGTGTACATAATTTCTTCTTATTTAGTGTATATCATTTTCCTGGGTAGCGCGTGTATGATCCTATGCTCCTTTGTTCTTCTGTGTGTGTGGTAGGCGTGGTTTTGTGCACGTGATTCTGTATCCACGTCTGTGTATGTTTATGTTATTGGTTCCAGGTGTGTTTCAATGTTATTTCTGTACTTTATTGTTCATTTATTTTTCATGTAATTTTCTTGGCCATGTTCTGTGTTGCTATGTTGATGTAAACTGTTTAGCCTATTGTTTCCATGTACTGTTTTAGCACTTATTTCCCTGTACTGTTTAGCCCATTGCTTCAATGCGTTTTCATTTTGTTCAGCTCTTGTGTTTGTTTTGCGGTTACTGTTATTGTTTAGTGTACAGACTGTTTATTCCTGTGTACTGTTACTTCATTGGTGTACTTGATGTGTACAGGTTTGCAATCTGCCAGTATACACTTGGAGAAAATGTAAAGTGAAAGGGAAACTGTGCTAAATCATGTAACAGTGAGACAGCTCTTTTCTCACACTCTTAATGTTGTGCTCTGTACTTCCTCTTTATTATTTACTTTGTATAGACCTCTTGTATTTTTCTCGTCACTTGCTCGCTCCCTGAGCATCTGTCCCAAGCTTTTGAGATATATACAAGAGTTGTTACATTCTTGTACAGCCACTAGTACGTGTATCGTTTCGGACAGGTCCCTGGAATACGATCCCCGCCGCGAAGAATCGTTTTTTCATCCAAGTACACATTTTACTGTTGCGTTAAACAGAGGCTACAGTTAAGGAATTGCGTCCAGTAAATCCTCCCCGGCCAGGATATGAACCCATGACATAGCGCTCGCGGAACGCCAGGCGAGTGTCTTACCACTACACCACGGAGACTTTCTCTTGTAGAGAAGTACGGTGTAGACTGTGATAGTGAAGGAAGTTTCGTTTTTAAGAATTTCATTTATACTAGATTTAATCAAACCCTTGAAGGCGACACTTCTACCACTAATAAAGTCTACTATTATCTACTACTAGAGGAGGTACTCAGCGTTGCTCAGATGGCAGAGGCCATATCATCACTAAACGCCATCTTCATAACTTTAGCCAAGGCAAAAAGAAGTGAGACTTTGAAGGTTTTCGCATAATCGAATTCCACCACCCACGGACCTGCTTAAAATATATCAATTTCTTATAACAATTTCCCATTGATAAATAAGCGTCAAGAACATCATCTAAATAAAGGAAATACTTTCTAAATGATATTCTTTGAGGAAACAATGCATACATAATTAAGACGACTCATTAATGAGGGTGTTGTTCCTAGAGGTTTCCGGCGGTGTTTAGAAAGTGACGTCCAAGATGCTGTTGACTCCCAGGCGGACGGAGGCGGAACCGGCTGTGCTGCTCCGACGTCTTGTTCAATACATTGGTTAATGACGAGAATTTCCTTTTGAGGTAGTTCCATAGCGCACGGTAACGCAAGTCCCCCCGGGGGCTGTGACGCAGTGACTCGTCCCTCGGGGGTTTGTGCAACACGAATTCGTTTCCTATGCCCTTCCCACATCCCGGCCGAGCCCTTCCCACACCCCGGCCGAGCCCTTCCCACACCCCCGAGCCCTTCCCACACCCCGGCCGAGCCCTTCCCACACCCCGGCCGAGCCCTTCCCACACCCCGGCCGAGCCCTTCCCACACCCCGACCGAGCCCTTCCCACACCCCGGCCGAGCCCTTCCCGCACCCCGACCGAGCTCTTCCCACACCCCGGCCGAGCTCTTCCCACACCCCGGTCAAGCGCTGCCCACTCGTTGACGCTCCACCAAAGCACTTCCCACATTTTGCCAGCCGCAGTATTTTAGATTGATTATTTTGCGTACAAAAATAGCATTCTGCCCCTCGATTTGCATAATCTCAGGCACCTGCCTAAGGTAGTCAGTTATGCCGGAATTCCTCCTAGAGTTACCATTCACAATGTTACTGTTGACGCCAAGAGGGAATGTCATAATGCAGTGCAAATGAGCTGAAAGTTGGAGAGCTGCGGTCAGCGTCAGGCGCCTGGTAACGGAACCTGTCTCCTACGGCAGTCGAGCGGGTGAAAGTGCCGCCCGGGATCGCCCTGTGGGGCTGGTACGGTGTGGGGGAAGCCTTACCCTTTCCCCCCCGGTGACTCACTAGGGGTGCTGCTGGGTATGCCTCACCCCTTTCCCGATGACTCGTCAAAGTACGGCAGGGCACGCCCTACCTCTTCCACCCTTCATTCTGCAGGGTACGGCGGGGGCCTACCCCAACCTTCCCTCCGGTCACCTTGCATGGTACACCCAAGGCATATCTCGCCACCACGACTTGCACCTGATTAGTTCCTTTCACATACGATAGGAAATCGTATACGATAGGAAATCTGTTTCACATACAATAGGAAATTACATCTTCCTAGCGCATGTTCTTCGGCTGAATCCATCCGTCTTGAGATACGTCGCGGGCATTCCAGGGGATAAGACAAGGCGTGTGGGACGTAACCATATATTGGAGATATTTAAACCCGTTGTTTGTGCTTCTGACGTATCTGTAGTCATCTGTGTCAAGGACCGTCTCTCTCAATCTGGCTCATTCTCTCATCTTCCCCGCATAGTAACTAATTAGCATCATTGTTTCAGAGATCCACAGGTTACGAGACTATCAGTGGATTATGGTGTTGGATATGAGCGCCTTCCAACACTCATTTGATTCTTATATCTTCAGCGTGATGATGCGTCTGCTAATACTGCTGGCGCTGACCACGGCGGCCGTCCAGGCCAGGAACAGCTGGTCCTGGGGACCGGACGACTCGTCTGGTGCAGGCTCCGCAACCACCCATGGCAGATCGGGGGCGTCTGTCGCAAGAAGCAGTGACCGTGTGGGAAGGACCTCGACCCCAAGTGACGCCGCCGCATTCCATCCTTCCTCTTCAGCAGGAGCCCTGGCTGTAGTCTCTCCGCCGTCAGCAGCAGCATTTACCGCTGAAACGGCTGCGCCACAGCATGCACTGTTATCAGCTGCTGTGTCAGCTGCGCCCCTTGTCACAGGAGAACATCAGCGTGGAGAGACTCGAACCGCCAGGAAGATCGAGGGCGCCAGCGACGGCCTCGCTGAAGGCAGGTTATTCGGAATAAAAGACAAGCTCTGTGAAGTTGGCCTTGGCTTCGATGTGAGTACATCCTCTCTAATATTTATCACTTAGTTTGAATATTTTGTTGCAATAACTATTAGAAAAATGTTATTTGTCAATAATTATCACTAAAATATTTAATGTGCTTGACCTTAAAATACCACATTATATAACAAAGCGCAGGTAGATTATAACAAGTAATTGGTTTTATACATTATTGTTTTCAATACTTTTAATTGGAACTTAACACAAATAGCGTTTAGAATTCGACCCAAATATTCGAGAGTTCTGTATGTTACTTTTGCTAATTACTTCCGTAATGTTTCAGTGCAAGAAGGGGTATAAAGGCGGCCTCAGCCACCACGACATATCGTACGTGCAGCCCGTGCAGGTGGTGCCTGTAGGTGGCCCTATTGCTGCCGTGCCAATTCACCCTGGCAAAGGGTACGGTCATAAAGGCTACGGCGTTCCTCCTCCTGCGTATGGCCCACCTCCCCCTATTTACTCTCCTCCTGTATACGCCCCTCCTCAGCCCATATACGCCCCTCCACAACCTTCCTACGGACCACCTCCTCCAGTGTACGGGCCTCATAAGTCCAGCTACAGCGAAAGTGTCTACCACGAGGGTTCCTCCCTGGTGAACCACGTCCACACCCACCACCACCTCTATGATGGTCCCAACGTCTACGGCAAGGACAACCATTACAGCGGAACTCAGACGCACAGTATATCATCCAGTCCGTCCTTCACATCCTTCGACTCCCTGGAACATGGTAATAGCTTCGCTGATTTCTCTCACGGAGGCGTTGACAAGGTAGGGAAACCTCTACCAGTAATTCCTCCACGGCCAGGCCCTGCAATTCCTCCTAATATAGGCCCATCTTACTTGGAGGACTGCCAGTGTGTAGACTACCAGTACTGCTCCTCCTTCGACGTCGTCGGCAGAGCGCAGACCGGTGTCCACCCCTTTATCGACGCCCGCAGTAAGAAGACTGACATCCTGTCAACAGCCACTGACGAGGACGCTACTACTGGCGAGAATCAAGTCTTCTCCGCTTCTGAAGGCAAATCTGTGGTTGTGAACGCTGAATCAGCAGAGCACAGGGAGAAGACCACTGAGAGGAAGAAGAGAGATACCGTGGTATTCAAGGAGAAGCCGAGAGACGCCAGAGACACCATGGTGTTCAAAGACAACACCAGGACCTCCACCTTCAGCAGACCCGCAGCGCCCTCCAGGCCAGCTATCGCCACCAGCCGTCAAGGGGTGAGTGCACACATAATTTATCTCATGTTTATAGAGAAGATATACCAGACCTACTTTACGATGTGTATCTTTATGATCTATAGCAACAGTTCAGCAGCAAACGAGTAGTAGCTCTTTCACATATGCCACAAACCTCCTCCTCCTTCCCCGTCATGACCATTAACTATTGCACTCCCAATATTTCCTCGGTCGCTCTTCTCATCCCCATTTTCGCCACATATGTATTTGTCTTCGTTGGTCTGCCTCTTCGTCTTGCTCGGCGACACTATAGTATATCATCTTCCAAATTTGTGTATATAGTGGGCTATAGAGGTCCCGGGATATGGGACCCTCCACTTATATACGTCCCACTCTGACTTCGCTCTATTTACGCAGGCGCTCTTCCATATGGGATACCAGTGCCCCGATCATTCTTAAGAAGCCACTTGGTCCTTTCCAATACCCCATGTTCTGTTTCCTTGTCAATCTCATGCGTGGAGCAGCGTCAAAAGCCTTCTAAAGTCAATCTAATACAATATCACAACCTTTACCACTGACTACTGCAATTATTCTTACATACGAGTCATTCAAGTGTAACTTTTATATTATAGAGGCATTGTACCTGTGTATATTTTGTACATTTGAATGCATTACAATATACATGTGAATGAGTAATTCTACTGTATGAGCATTTCCATTGTATGAGAAACTCCCGTGTTAAAATAAATGACTGTGCACAGCTGAGCTCGTACACGCCTGGGCCCAACGGGTGTGCGCCTCGCCACGTATGCTGCCGCCGGCCAGGGTTCCGCCAGCAGAGGGAGATCGGGTCATGTGGCCGCCGGAACTCGGTGGGACTCCTGGGGCGCGTGAAGAACGACAACATACTGCAGGGAGACACTGAGTTCGGAGAGTACCCGTGGCAGGCGGCCATCTTGCGCCGGGAGACTGGAGAGAGTGTGTACGTGTGTGGTGCTGCTCTCATCGACCGACAGAACCTCATTACAGCTGCCCACTGCATCACCGGGTCAGTACTCAAACCTTAGCTGTCATTCCCGCTTATATTATCTCTCCTGGCTGTCTTTCTCCATACTATCTCTCTTGAGACATACTGATTTTCTGCTTGCAGTGTTTCTCCATACTATCTCTCTCTTGAGACATACTGTCTCTCTCCTTGCTGTCAGCATAATGTCTGCCAAGCAGCTTGGAGTGAGGATGCAGAGTTGTCACTAACAGAGTTGTGTGTGTGTGTGTGTGTGCAGGCTGACCGCAGGGGAGCTGAAGGTGCGCCTGGGAGAGTGGGACGTGGGCGGCGACACGGAATTCTACCGCTACGTGGAGAGCCCCGTCCTCGCCCTCTACTCCCACCCGGATTTCTACGCCGGCAACCTCAACAACGACGTCGCCATCGTCAGAATACAAACCCCCGTCGATTTTCTTTCCAAGTGAGTGGTGTCTAATGGACGCAACTTTATTTCTAAAATCTTTCATACTCTTGTACATATTCTTGATAATACACGTCAACTGAGACCTGCAATGAAACACCAATGTTACAATGATACAGTCCTGAGAACATTGTGTAATGAATGACGCTGCCCACAGTCCTCACATCTCGCCCGTGTGCATGCCTGAGCGCTTCGCTAGTTTCTCTGGTCAGCGATGCTTCGTGTCGGGCTGGGGTAAGGATGCCTTTGGCAACCACGGCAACTTCCAGCATCTCCTGAAGAAGGTCGACCTGCCCGTCGTCGACTACTCGACGTGCGAGTCTGCGCTCCGCCGCACGAGGCTGGGTCCTCAGTTCAGCCTACACGCCGGCATGATGTGCGCGGGCGGCGAGGAGGGCAAGGATGCCTGTGAGGTGAGTCCTTGGCTGGCTGCTGAAACCTAATAAATAATGTTATTTTTCTACTTATATATGTAATAGCAATTGTTTAACATGTTCAAAATAACCTGAAAGTGTAAGGTGGTCAGGATTACTCTTGATGTGTGTATGTGTGCTTGCAGGGTGACGGAGGCAGCCCCCTTGTGTGTCAAGGTGCTGACGGCACGGTGCAGCTGGCCGGCCTGGTGTCCTGGGGTGTAGGCTGCGGTCAGCGCGGCGTCCCCGGCGTCTACACCAGCATTCCCTACTACACGGAATGGATCAACTCCGTCACCAGACGTTAAGTCAGCCGTCGGACCCCCGCTGGATTGTTTGCCCGCCATTCACCTTTCTACATGGGAGTCTGCCACTGATGACTCCCCATGACTCCCGTAGTCTGTTACTACGCCAGTAGTGTCTACTGTCTCTTCAATGGCAAACTACTTTTTGCTTTAATATGTGACACAGGACCTCTGAACTCTGTGTTCGGTGTCAAATTCTTACCCCTGCCTTTGTCTGGTGGCGACTTGTCGCGACGCAGCGAGGGGGAAGAGAATACAAATGAAGCTGTATATTTTTGTAACAGTAATATTTTTAAAATTAATAATTTATACTCAGTGTGTTCATTCTTTACTGGTTAAAGTCTGAAAGTGTTAACTAGTCTTGTTAGTCTGTGGACCCTCAGATACATGCCTTCTTACAGTGCTGTCTTTTGCATAGTTTTTGTTTAAGTGTTTTAACGTTTCATATTTACTCAATTTAACTCCAAAATACAGACTTAACTAAAACGTTTCTTCAACCATCAAAGTTTGGCGTCTAAGAGGAAGTCTGAAAGCCTGGAGAAGCGCCCCGCGCTCAATCTTGAGCACTTCTCTGCTCGCTTCAACACTTACAGCTGACACACACCTCACACCTGTTGCTCTCTTGCTTAAGTATGTTGTTATTTATACGAGCTTTGTTAAACTTTTCTCTTTGAAGAACATTAATACAAAAAACACTTAACATTTGTCATTGAGTGTGGTGGAAGCCGAACTAATGTGTTACTTGTTTAACAATTGTATAATTTAACGTTGAATTAGTCAGTTTTATGGTGTTGTGTATATTTAAACAGTATGACACTAATATATATTATTGGTTGCAATACAAGAAAGATTCGATGGTGAGTTCAAGTTCTAAGTTATTGTATTTACCAATCAACAAGGTACAAGTATATATATATTCAGTCCAGGTGCTATGGGACTGTAGTGGCTTCAGTCCAGGTGCCAAGGGACTGGAAAGGCTTCAGTCCAAGAGACTGGAGAGGCTTCAGTCCAAGGGACTGGAGAGGCTTCAGTCCAAGAGACTGGAGAGGCTTCAGTCCAAGGGACTGGAGAGGCTTCAGTCCAAGAGACTGGAGAGGCTTCAGTCCAAGGGACTGGAGAGGCTTCAGTCCAAGAGACTGGAGAGGCTTCAGTCCAAGGGACTGGAGAGGCTTCAGTCCAAGAGACTGGAGAGGCTTCAGTCCAAGGGACTGGAGAGGCTTCAGTCCAAGAGACTGGAGAGGCTTCAGTCCAAGGGACTGGAGAGGCTTCAGTCCAAGAGACTGGAGAGGCTTCAGTCCAAGAGACTGGAGAGGCTTCAGTCCAAGAGACTGGAGAGGCTTCAGTCCAAGGGATTGGAGAGGTTTCAGTCCAGGTGTCAAGGGACTGGAGAAGCTTCAGTCCAGGTGACAAGGGACTGGAGAAGCTTCAGTCCAGGTGACAAGGGACTGGAGAAGCTTCAGTCCAGGTGACAAGGGACTGGAGAAGCTTCAGTCCAGGTGACAAGGGACTGGAGTGCCCCGTATGAAGCTGTTACGCTCGCTATGTTTTTACTAAATAAAAAAATCTAAGAATGTCGTGTTAATATTACTCTTCCGTTGGTGTTGCTGCTCGCCTTGCCCCGCTGCCTACACTTGCAAGGTGAAATTCATTTATTTTCTTTATATTATGAAGTCGGAAACAAAAAATAAATATTCTTACAGACAACTTTGAGAGAAATACTTCGCCTCATTAAAATAATAATCGAATGTGCGGTTGAACAACATCGTCACTTTTAGATTTTCCACGACTGTGAATTTTCCAATATTTGGTGATGGTGTTATCTTCTTAAGGAGCGAATTTACACTACACATAGTCTCAAGGTCTTAAAACGCGGACTTCGATCCTATTAATGTAGGCATCCATCAGTCTCAGGAGACTATATGGAGTTGCGCTCTGGTTGTCGGTCTGGAGTGGCCTCTCCAGGGCGCAAAGCCAGGAGTAGGTTGATACGGGGGAGAAGCTGTTACCTATGCAGCAGGTCGATCCTATTACCGCTTGTATAACCAAACTCAAAATTTCCATCAATTACTGAGAATCGTTTAGTTTGTTTGACACCGAAGTAGTTCATAATTACCTCGCAACGATGTTTACTACTGCGTCAGAGGTCATCATTGCTGCGTCACAGGTCATCACTACTGCGTCAGAGGTCATCACTACTGCGTCAGAGGTCATAATAGTACCGAAAACACATCTAAATTTTCAACTATGTAACTGACTTGTTTATTATATACTTGATTTGCTAATTGGAATAGACACTTGATTCATCAAGAGACTCGACTCAAACTGCATAAATGATAAGCTAAACTTAATTTTTGTTTATCTTATTGCCAAGTTAAAGCAAAGTTGCCCACTCAACTTTATCAGTAATTACGACTTTATCAACATACCTGTTGCTCCCAAGACGAGTCCCCATGTCTTGAGACGCTTCAATAAGGGTTAAGTATGAAAGGTGTGAACAAAGATAATTTAAATAAAAGCTAATGAGATCAATGCATTATGTATGGGTGTATATATATATATTGCCAGCTCCCTGACTATACACGAACAGTAGAGACATAACAAGCAAGTTCCCGAGAGCAAAACCCATCGATACAGTGGTAGAAGGGAGCAAGAGCCACTGAAACTGTGGCAGAAGAGAGAAAAAGAACCACTTAATTGTAGATGAGAGCAAGAATCACTAAAACCGTGGTAGAAGAGAACACGAGCCACTGAAACAGAGACAGAAGAGACCAAGTGACAGCACCTTGCAGCGTAGGCAAGTGACTTAAACTTAGTAAACCATTTAAAACTTAAAATTTACTTAGAAGTGACTTAGAAATTTATATGAGGAATAACTTAGAATTAATAAAAAAAGAGACAGCTCTAATTTATCCAGCACGCCTGTACAGCACTTTCAATGGATAACTCGATGAGGATCTTGGATAGGACGGAGGGAAAGAACGGTCCCCCCAACCTGGAACGGTTGGGGAGACCGTTCCAGGGAACGGGGACCCCGTTTCCAGGGAATGGTCCCTGGAAACATTGGGGATCGAACGCGTCTTGCAAGAAACAAGGACATCGTTGTGCCACCAAATCCAAGCGGTTGGTACTCTGAATTGAAACAGTTTTTGTTCTGCTGTTTATAACATTCGAAGACACAAGATGGTGGAGTTGCTTAGAGAAGTGTGAGAGAACGAACCTTCGCTAGCTGAAGCGAAGATTTAAGAAGAAGGCTGACGCATTATATTAAATCCGACTATAGCACGGTATATCCGGCTATGACGCAGTATATCCGGCTATGACGTAGCACATGTGGTTAGGACACAGCATATCCAGCTATCACACGGTATATATCCAGCTATGACACGATAACTGGCTATGACACAGTATGATCGTTTGAGCAACCAGTCCTCAGGCCAGGCTCGTTAAAGACACATTAATAAATTTGTAAATATTATATATTAAAAGGAGGGTTGTTCTCGCATATGAGTTAATATTATTATATATTAAAGTTCTATGTATAGTTAGCCGTAGGTTATGTTAGGTGTTTAGGTTCTGTTGGGGACCCGTCCTCAGACCAAGTCCATTCCATCCAGCGGTCGACCCCACAGACGCATTCATTAATTTTAACATGCAGTTAATTCCAAACGGGAATTTTCTCAAATATAAGTTAATATTATAATATATTAGCATACTGTGCATATTTAGGCACTGGTTAGATTGGGTGTTTAGGTTCTGTTGGCGATTATTTGTATTTGTAGTACGTGGGTGAAGCATTTACAGCGTTGTGGTTCGAACAAAAGTCGTCAGCGAAGCACTTGTTCCGGAAGTGTTCGGGCGTCATCAGTTGAGTCGTGTGTAAACCGTTTTTCATTCATAAACAGCGGGTATTTGGCGGGTGCATGAAGTGAACTTTGGGCTTTGTTTATGAGGACAGACTAGTTGACAATTATTTGCATTTGAAGTACGTGGGAGAAGCATCAGTTTCGAGTCTTTTTCATGCATAAACAGCGGGGCGGTTTGGCGGCAGGATTAACGAGCATTTGGCCCTTTTTGATGAGGACGGGCTGCGTTTATCATACGGTATACATATTTTACAAAACAAACATTTAAGACAATGAAACCTTAATCAAACGTACACAAATACATAAGAACACAATTATAAAAGACGAAAATTAGTGGGTGGACTTGAGACTCGAGGACTCGAAGTTGCTCATCGCGGGTCTCATTTTGGCGATGTAAACAGATTCCAAAATATTGAGATCAAGTCGATGACAGTCTAGTTAGCAGCGTGCGCAAGACGGGAACTAATACTTCTCCGGAAACTTGTGTATCGGAAAGCGCAAGCAGTACGCTTCCCATATCACCCGCAGGTCAGCGGGCAGCCGGCCACCAGGCGGCGCCCTCGGCTGAGACATCCTATCCGGCACCCTATACACAAACTCCTTCACCCGCGACACCCAGATAGTGGACGAGCACCACGGGATCGGAAGCACCCGGGCATCCCGATAAGGGCCCAACTCCGGACCCTCACAGGGCACGACCCCAGCAGACGGGACTAGGCAATCCCCAGACTGGAGCAAGGAAGGAGGGGATACAGCAGGGGACGCAGGCGCGGCACCGACCCCACCACCGGGCACAGGAGCCGAGGCCCCTGGCGCACATCTTTCCGCAACATCACGACGAGGTCCCGATCATCAGGGACAACCCCCCACTGCGGAGATCCAACAGCAGGAGACGGAGGAGGAGAGGCACAGGTAGCAACGTCGGAGCCCCTCACAGCTCGATACAGTGAAATCGTTTGCAGGCGGGAGAGGTGTGGCTCATGGCTTCTCGTATAGCTGAAGACACAGTTTACCTAGGGAAGAAACCTGTGAGGTAAGAGATACTCATATGTTGACATATACGGTTTTTTAAGATATAGAGAGGTATTCCCCGCGTATCGAACACTTAAAAATACATACAACCCCGGATCTGAGATCAAAGGGTAAATGATCATTGTTAAATAGTGTTTTAAATAGTGTACAATAGTATGATTGCTGGTAAACACACTCTGAATTCTAATTTTTGGATAGGAACGTCGAGGAATATTATATTTAACACAGAATTGCATGTTCAGTCAGAGCAAAAAATTAATGTACAGCCTACTTGTTGCCGACAAGTATTGATAACTTGTCCAATGTTCTAGATGATATATGTCTAACCCTGGAAGGATGTATAGCATGCCACCCAGGCATAAAACTGTTAGCTGGTGAGGCCAGCTTAGCGCCGTGGTTATATGAGGATTGCTGAGGAAGTGATGACCAGCGACGCCTGAGAGCTGAAAACGCTTATTGTAGTATTTACTGTTCTCGAGCCGCTGTGGGAGCTCAGTGAGTCCCACAGTGGACTCAATCCCACAATCCCACTGTGGTAAAACAAAGCATGTTACTCTGAGTTGCTCTTTTTCGAGTGAATTCGTTATCAGTTTGCCGGTAACCGAGACGATCTCGGTTCATGCAGGTCGGCGTTCAATCCCCAACCGTCCAAGTGGTTTGGCACCATCCCTCTCCCCCCCCGTCCCATCCCAAATCCTAATCCTGATACCTTCCAAGGGCTATATAGTCGTAATGGCTTGACGCTTTTCCCCTGATAGTTTTATTCCCCTTCACTCTTAAAAAAAAATGATCCCTTCCCCCTTCCGTATGTCGGTAACCGCAAGATTACTCTATGCTACTAACCACAGTCTACTTGTTCAAAAGGTGGGGTGAGACATTTAGGCCTATCTTAGCAAGTGTTGGCAATTGATAACTAACGCAGCTAACTGTACACTGACATACATCACATAAGCTGAAATGTAAATGAAATGAAATGAAACTGAAAATTATCTGTTAGATTAAGGACCTGCCCGAAACGCTGCGCGTACTAGTGGCTTTACAAGATTGTTAAATACTATGCTCTGTATTCTCTCTAACCCAATGTACCTTCTTGTATATAAATAATTAAATAAATAAATGTGAAAGTCCAATTATTAATCTGCATTCGAAGGACCATCTTATTTATGTGTAAATGTTACCCTTTGTCCGCTGGCTTGAACTAGACACTTGAAAATAAACCATATGAATATGTCATCTATTTATTATATATATAAGCAACGGCATACCACCACGTTCTCTAAGTCGAGTATATTTAATAAAATTAGCAATATGTCACGACTGCGTTCACCTGTAACAGTTCTGAAATCTAGAACGTAAACTTCGTTCTAGAACGTAAATCCTTCGCCTCTTAGGTCACCCAAGGGGCTGCTGGCGCTGGCGGGAACAACCTGCTTATCTTGGAGGTCATTTCTTCGCGTCTACACTGGGTATAGTGACTCAGGTCCCGTGATAAGGACAGGTATAGAGTGTAGATATTATGCTAGAGGTTTGAGGAGTTAATGAAGAGTATTGTCCTCGGGCAGTGAGTCACGGAACAGATTGCACGATGCCTGAGTGTGGAGAGAAGTGATGTTGGTGCGTCAGGGGGGGCAGCGAGCCCTGCTGAGAGAAGTGATGTTGGTGCATCAGAGGGGGGGC